TTAGCCGAAGGCAGCGGAGCAGCCAACCCCCTCCCTCCTCCTCCTCCCCAGCAGCAAAGCCCGGCCCCACCCCCCCTTCGGGAGGGAAGAGGAGGGAATGCTGAGCATGCAACGGATCGAACAGCGGAGAAAGCTGGAGATGGACGTGTTGATGAAAGCCTGTGTTACGTGTGCTGTTACATGCGTTACGTGTGCGGCTACGATATAACAAGCACACTTGGTACACCTGAAGACTAATTCTAGTGAAAATATTTCTCTCCTGGAAAACAGGTATGCGTTGGACCGGGCAACCCCCCCTCAAATTTCCTGGATGACTCATGTCTTGGTTTAAATACAACGCCCAAACCTCTCAGCTGTTGGTGTACCCCAGCAGAAGGTGCCTTTGCTTGAGGCTGCCCTCTCCCACCTCCATGCTTTGAGCTGCCGGTTGTCCGTCTCTCATGTCCCGTTCGGTGGCCGTAGCAGGACCGAGACGGGGGCAGCAGAATATCCAGGGAACTATGGGCTTGAAACAACCTGGGGACGAGACTGCCTGCCTCGGGCTAAACTTGGAAGAGAAAGGGCCAAAACGGAGAGGGTATGAAGACGGTCACCAGCCCACGGCCTACGGATCCCCTACACCACAGAGGGTGAAAATAAACGGTCTCAGTCTCCACTGGCCTTTAGGCTCTCACCAGTATTACTCTTAGCCACATCTACCAACAGGCTGTCTGGCATACAGAGAGAGGAGGAAGCTAAGTAAAAAGTGATGCTTGCCAGCTCTGTGTATCCTCCACCACCGGTGTGCTAGAAGAAATCCTTACCCTCGAGTGAACATTTGGAAATTTAGTGATATTATTCTTCTTTAGGGCTAAACAGAAAAAAAAAAAACAAAACAAAACAAAACACAAAATGATGGTTAAGTAAAAAATGGGATGGAAAATGAAGAGCAAGTCAACTCAGCGTTCAAAACTCCCAGGCACATTAGCCAACAGAGCAAGAGGGGGTAAGGCCAAGGCTACGAGAGGAGGTTAGACACGGAGAGGAAAGGACAGGAGGGCCACCCTCGCCTCTCGCTAACCAAATTCCAAGCTGCTTTGAAGATTGGCTCCAGGAAGATAATACAGCAATTAACTCGAAAGAGCAAATAACCGTTGAGCTGATTATAGTTTGCAATTTTATTAGAAGCATTCATAAAAATACATATAGCAAAAGTGAAACACTGTTGTCTTCTTAAGCCGCTGAGTCCTTAAATCAAGACAACAGTGTTAACAGACATGCTGGGTTAAACACACCCTTCTTACACTTTACACCACACGATGTAAATTGCTCAGTTCCATGTCAAGCTTTTCATCGTCACAATTTCTGCAGTTCTGGCAAATAACTGAGTGTTTCCCCAGCTCTGCTCCTTCCCTCTCCCCCCCGGTTCGTGCACCGCTGCCGCTACCGAGCCCAACCCCAGCACTGCACAAAGTCCAAGTGAATTGGAACCAGTTAGTGCTCAGTAAACGTCTCTGATTTTACTTAGGTAAAGTTGGCATGGAACTGAAAAAAGTTAAATATGGATGTGACCGAATGAGAAAAGATTTTATGCGGTTCATTTTATCCTGTATCTCACATGCAGACAAACATGCAGGTGCTGGTTAAAAAGTCTAAAACAAAACACTCCTCGCAGAGGACGTACGTTATTACAGACAACCCTTCCAAGCCAGAAAGCAAACCCCAAGAAAAGTCCCGCTTAGTTCATGCAGACCGTAACTTTGCTTTGGCATACAGCTGACGTAGTACATGCATTTTACATAGGTAGGCTGGCATACAGAGAAAGATCTGCAGGCCAGAAGAGATGACATAGAAAAGCCAAGTGAACTGTCACTTCTTGACTGCATTTGATCTCCTAAGTCTTGTGAACTGTAGGAAACCTTCACCAAATCTACTGTGACTTCCACCACTTGCTGTTCTATGGCATTGGGCGTGAGGGCGAGAGATGCTTTTGAGATGCAAGGATGGCCAAAAGCATCGAGCGCAAAGCCGATGGGATGGAATAAAAAGTTACCGAAACACAAGAACATGCAACAGAGGTGACATAAATACAACTTCAGGTGGACGCTGGACATTACTATACACTCAACATTCACATGATCCTGGCTGAGATCCGTACAAATGGAGAAGTGTCAAAAATCTACAGCAACCTTTCTTTTTTCTAAGAGCATCAGATGTGAAAGAGGAATAGTTTAGTAATGGAATTCCTCAGTGAGAACAGGTTCGCAGAAAAACCGAGAGCCCCGCTTGGCGGTTCGAGCAGTAAAGGGCACAGTCTTCAGCACTGCATGGGAATAACAGCCAAACAGACAAACAGAGCCGTGAGAAGCGGATCTATCGCATTAGTACAGTGTTAGTGCTCGGCTACGGACACCCAGGGACGGTCTTGCACCTTCCAACCAGCTGTCTAATCGCACTGCCCTTCAGTAGGCTTTGGCAACAAGGCAGTTGTAAGTCTCTGAATAAGTATTTCTTATATTACATCGTTTCGAATGGTTTTGAGAGACTATGGCTGAATGCGCTCCAGAAAAGGGTGTATTGTTAGACAGTGCTCTGCTCCGGATCAGCAGAGCTTTTCTGTGCATCTGATGGGGCACTATCCAATTTAAAACGACACTTTCGATCATTTCCATACCATTAACAGAGATCTCACGGGCCGTATTCAAGTGACCTCGGTCCTACCTGACTTTCTGTGCCTAACCTTTATTATTACATGGCTTGAGGCCCCCAGGGACAGCCCCATAACGGGAAATACTAGGCACAAGACCATAGGAAACGTTTAATTTGAGTCTGGCACCCCCTCCGCTGGACTGCCTTTTGCATGTGGATGGTCTTCTGCCACACAATCTGTTTCTCCCACAGAGCAGGAGAACCACTTTACCAATTAAACAAGCTTCCAGGAGTCTGAAGGAGTTGTAGAAGCGGTAACAGATTAGATATTATAGCGACTCTGCCCTTTAAATAAAGAATATTATCTTAGGAAGCTATTAATCAAGGTTAAAGAGAGTTGTGAAAGCTTCAAGCATTTCAGCCCTGTCATCTAGTTGGGCAAAAATTCCCTGGCTTTCCTTAGTGAGTAGTAAAACAGCTCTCCTCCCCTCCTGCAGGAAAAACTCGTGTGAAAAACATTCAGGAGCAGTAGCCAAGGAAATCCTGCCCAAAGACCTTTTTTTGAGCTTCTGTGCAATGGAAACAAAGTACTGTAAAGCTATCGAAGTGTTAAAATCGTGTTCCTTTCACACCATGGGTGAAGAACGTGCAGTAAAATCAAAGAACTGCGATCAGAGCAGCTGTATAGATTACAAACGATTTGACTCCTGAGCAAAATGCAGTTTAGAAGGCAGCTCTTTTTATCAGCAAATATTTGCACCAAAGTCCTGACTGTCTCTGGCTACGACAGCAGGTTCTGCCCCTCTCCCTCGGCCCTAGGTTGGGATCAGTGCAGACTTTGCCTACCAAACTGAGAAGCAGTAAAACCAGAAGCAGTTTAGGGTCATAAATCATTCAGGTTTGACTAAATGATTTGCTGTAACTGTGCAATAATGTGGTGCAATTACTGTTAGTACATTTTAATGAAAATGTAGGCTCTTAATAATGTTAAACATCCGTCATTCATTCCGTTTAGGGGGAAAAAAGGTTTCTGGGAAAGATCTGCACGACATGCATATTCCCACCGGAGCATCTGCTGAGATCAGGCATTGAACTGGCTACTCTAAAGATCAGAGACCGAGTACGTCCCCACATGCTGAAAGAGAAGAACTAAGAAACAGAGCGTGTGTCCGAGGTCTGCGCACGCAGCATTGGCAGCGGACACGTCAAGGCAGGTTACTGGGGTTTGTTTGTTACGTACCATTAGCAAAAGTTTCTGTACTTGATTCACATCATATAAACAATGTCCTAAGCTGTGCTCCAGTAACACGTTTTTAAGAAGGACATGAAGCACTTACAATAGCTGCTAGGCAGATACACATTTTTATCCTTTGTGAAAGGGCCTCTGAGATTATGGAACAAAGGGTGTTTACCTGTTATAATATCTTCAATAGCACCATCCTTCCCTTCGTACACATGCCTGTTATCCTTGACTTGCCGCCGTCTGAGCTCTGCAATCAGCTCTTGCTGCTGTCTCTTTGTTTTATGTGAAGGAGACTGAAAGCAAAGAAGAGAGGACCCTGAAGGACTGACCTCCAGCTACCCTGCTTCTCTCTTCCTGAACGTGAAACATCAGGTGATCCCACTGGTAGCTATCAGCAAACAGTAACTGCCCGTTTTCTTCCCAATTTTGCAAGACTGGGAAAACACACGTGTGCAGTTAGCTCACGTCCCATGGAGAGGACGGGCAGAGCCACAAGTTAACCTGGCTGCCAAGCTGCTTTTCTTTCCTACATTTGTAATCTACTTCCAGGCCTTCTCATCACTTGGAACTGGAGCTCCAAGCTCTTACCTCTGAAAAGCATTAGGGGAACAAGGAGAACAGGCTTTCCTTCCGAGGGAAAAAGCTTGGCTGGGATTAAAGATCCCAACAACAGCTGTGGGAAGCAGCACCAGCCGACAAAGTGGCTGTTTTAGAGCCACGGGAAACTTTCTCTAGCAAATCTAAAGTGCTACCTCAGAAAAAAAACCCACCTCAGGAAAATTCCTATAAAACGGTAACGTGGGGCTCAGTCCTGCTGCCATGCTCTGACAGGGAAGGACCTAGGGACGATCGTTCCTTGTCCCTGTAAGCGACGGGAGGCTCTGCACACCGAACGCCAATGAGGTTTTAACAGATACAAGGCCAGAGCAGAACAAAGTTCAGATAATGGCAATGTGGACGAGATGACTTTCTGTCTCTTCACAGTTTTTCTTAATTTTGCAGACGTCAAAGTAGCAGAACCATACACTTGTATTCTTTTAGCTTATTGTGGTTCTATCCCCATAAGGAGAAAACTTCCAGTGACCCTATTTAGAGCCAACTATAAGTTGGACAGCTGAAGTTCTTATACAGAGCTGAGATTTCTGAACTACCAGGAAAAACACATGAACCTGATGGCTCCTGCCTGTAAGACGTATCCGTTTCATACCTTTTGGTCCTGTTGCTCCATCAATGCTTCCTGCTCCATAAGTTTTTCCATTAAGGCCTGTTCCTGCTTTTTTCTCAACTCATTCTCTTCTTCTGCTTGCTATTTATCAGAAAAAAGTACAGGTTATGGCTTCCAATTGCTACAGGGAACCTAAATATTACGAGTAACATTATCACTTGCTACCACAGGGCTTTCCAAGGAAGCAAGCTTAGGTGCAGCAATTTAGCTGCCGCTGAACACGGTCTGCAAAAACTGGGCTGGGAGAGACCTTCCTAGGTCACACAAACCATCCTCTCCCAGTCCCAAAAGACGTGTATTCAGGGTTAAAGGGGTAAGCTGCAGCCACCCAGACGTTCAATTTCTAAGGATTCCTCCAGCATCTCAGACAGCCGTGTTGTCTTTCAGCCCTGGAAATAATCCCAAAACAGCTGTTTGTGCTGCTCTGCCCTGGGCCGGTGTTGTTGTGCTGTCGGGGATGGCTCACATTGTGTCAAAGCTAGAGGGAGCCACAAGCTGTTCTGTTGGGCACCCCGAGCCACGCAGGTACCAAATCTGGTTCGGAAGGACAGAAGAGAAGAGGAGGATGCTCCTGTTTACCTTGTAGGCCTTCACAAACCGGACAAACACTGGGAAAAAGACGGAGGGGGGTGTCGTCTTGGGATTCTCCCCAAAGTACTTCACAGCATCATCAAAGGCATCCTACAAAAAGCACAGATTTACTGCATTGCACACATTCTAAGATAAACTCACCATCCATTACTGCAGTATTCAGTGTAAAGGGTCTAGATTTCCTCTGCATGTGAAACCCCTGGCTCAGACCAGCACGTCTACATCTAGCACTTGAACTCAGGAACAACAACACCACATTGCTGCACCTTCTCCTCCCTGCTGTGTATATAAAAGCACATCCTTTGCAGTGACATGCTGCTATTCACTGTGTCACTCACAGCCCCTCACCAAACCCCGAGAATAAAGAAATACCTGGGCTATTTTGGCATCGTCCTGCAGTTTCTTTAGCTTCCCTTCGTTGTTCTGAATGAACTCCTTCAGCATTGTGTTGTGGTCATGCATGGTGTACTCACGCTTCGTCAGATCCAGGCCCCTCTGCAGTTCCTTCACGTCCAAGAGGACATTTTCAAGAGACACTAGGAAATAAAACAAAAATGCTGCATCGCTCCTGCTCCACCAGCACACGAACCCACAGCTTGAACAATTCCCCACCGACGTGGGGGGAATGTGTGCCGTGAAGTCCCTCGCACGGCATGCGTGCCGCCACCGCTGGCCAGGCACAGGAGGGTGACAGTACCTGCAGCAGCCTTCTCCACGTAATGAAGTTCATTGTAAAAGAGGGATACGTGCTGGTACTTCTCCTTGACCACATTTGAAATATAGTGCAGCAGGGTCTGCTTTCGGTCTGTTGACTTTGTTTCCAGGAGCTGGGGAGAGAAGGCAAAGAGATTGCTGGGTGGAGGTGCAGCAGGCTCCAAGCAAAGTGACTCAGCGGGTGCTCGCCTTTCCCTGGTGTTTCTCCATCTGATAAGGACGGCTGTAAAAGCTCATTTAAGTCTTTAGCAGGTGGTTTTCAAGCTGTGGTCTGTGCAGAGCCTCTGAAGACACGTGCCTTCTCCTAAGCGGCCCCCCAAAACAAGGATAAGCAAAGCAAACTCACACCGCCTGGCAGGCAGCGCCTTCCCCGCTGCCACTCTCTGCCTTCACCAGCTGGAAAACACCGACCGAGTCCCCCAGCAGCCACTCGCCGTATACATGAAATGCATTCCCACCTGGTCCCCACAAGGCACCTCTGGTTTACTTACCAGGTCTAAACTCTGTAGCTTAAACCCATACACAGCTCCTCGTTTACTGCTGTTCATGTAGTTTCCAAGAGCCAAGATTATCTGCCAGGATGAAACAGAGCAGAGCATGAATTTTCAGGACAAATGCACGGCGCTTTAGAAACCTCTGGAAGGAGAGCTGGTATGTCAGCATCCAGGTACAGCTTGAGTATATGTAACAGGATGCACCGGTGAGTGATGGAGCTATTGAACGTATCTGAAATCAGACCTACCTCCAGTATTTTCTTAAGCTTTTGGGATGACTTTATTGAGACAGATGCAGCTATTATTGCGTGAAGTTGCTGCAGGTAAACACAGGAAGAGCTTTGGTTAATGCATGTCCAACCCAGGAGTAAAATTAAAATCTAAACATTCACATTCTCAACAAAACCTCTTGGTTTTCATCCATACCGTGGGCCCTAGCATAAATGTTATCCTGCCCTGACGCATCAGGATTTCAAACAATTCATTTGCACCGCAGGTTTACCACACTCAGATGTGGCTGGGTAAAAGCGTATTTACATTTCAATCCTTATGACCGTGAAAGATATATCAGGCTGAATGGGGGACACTTCAAAGAGCCCACGGGCCAGCACTGATAATAACTCTCCCTGGTGATACAAACAACTAGATTTTTATATAAACCGGTTTTAAACTTCTACAGGGTAAAGAAATAGGACAGTATGGAGCAGTCCAGGGTACAAACAGCACCTGGGCTATCAGTCGTTGATATATGAAAATATAGCTTGAAAACCACTTTTTCATTTGTGTAATTGTTTCTTGTTCTGTCTCCGTGGGAACTGATAATCACTCCACAACACTCAAACCATCTCTCTGTCTTAGCAAAATTAAAAACTCTATAACCTTCACCGACTGGCCCACACCTTCGCATGACTGCAGTGCTCCCCGCAAGCTGACCCGCGCCGCAGAGCGCAGCTCCCGAGGGGAGCCTGAGCCCCCGGGAAGCCCTGATCCCCGCACAGCCAATGCATTCCCCCAGGTGTCCCCAGGGGGTGTCCCTCACTCACCGGGGTCAGCATCTGGATGCTTTCTGCAAAGTTGCCTATAAACGCCATAATGGTCATCTTCTGCATCAGCCTCTCAATCTTGCTGAACTGCATCATGAACCGGTCTTCGTCGGACAGGTTCTCGATGGGTTTCCTTTCCCGCTCGTAGAGCCGCAGCACTTTCACTTCGTTCTCGGTGGGCAGGAACCGCATGAGGCATTCAACAAAATCCACCGGCAACGTCTTCAGGTCAAACCTGCGTGATAACAAACCAGAAGTGGTGTTAGGACAAGGCTCTACACAAAACGACAGAAAAGTGAAAGAAGTGAGAAAGCTGCCAAAGGCAGCTCTGCCTCCTGCACTGCTCAGCCACACGTGAGCCTAAGCCAGTAAAGCAGTGAGAAACTATAAAGAAGCTGTGAAGTTACTCCTGCTCGTGGTGCCCTGGCTGGGGTGGGGGGCACCATCCTGCACGTGAAGCTCTCTGCACACGAAGATCATAGAATCATAGAATAGTTTGGGTTGGAAGGGACCTCTAAAGGCCATCTAGTCCGACCCCCCTGCCGTGGGCAGGGACATCTTCAACTAGATCAGGTTGCTCAGAGCCCCGTCCAACCTGACCTGGAATGTTTCCAGGGATGGGGCATCCACCACCTCTCTAGGCAACCTGGGCCAGTGTTTCACCACCCTCAGCGTAAACAATTTCTTCCTTATATCTAGTCTAAATCTACCCCCCTTTAGTTTAAAGCCATTCCCCCTTGTCCTGTCGCAACAGGCCCTGCTAAAGAGCTGCTGCCATCTTTCTTATAAGCCCCCTTTAAGATGTGAACAAGGTTACTGTGCTGATGTGAACGGTGCTGCTGGGCACCTTGTTTCTGTTTTCAAAGACGTGGTCATTCCCCCTGCCCCTCCATGGCCACACCTCATTTTTATCAGAGAAGGTATGTGGGGAGGAGCAAAGAGCAATTTTCTTTAATCGGGCCAGAGCCCTGTAAACCCCAGCTGCTGAACCTGCCTCAATCTGCAGCAGGTTTGGGTCACCCTCCTCACCAAAGGTAATGCTTGTGAATCCAAATTTTGAAGATATTCCTTAACGGAGAAGTGGCAGGTGTTTGTCACGGCCACGAGTACGAAGTGCTTCTGGATAGATTCAGGATCAGCCCCAAGGAGCAGGTACACCTGCGCTCCATCCTCGGGAGCTGCTGGAGTCGGCAGGCAAGGGTCTGCGTCAGCGCGGGATGGGGTGCAGCCGAGCCCCTCACTGCACTCCTGCATAACTCTATGCAAAACCCTTCCAGTGCACTTGGACTAAACTCGTGCTTTATGGAACAAACTGAAAGAGTTGCTTCTTCCTGATACTCTGGCTTTTGAGTGTTCATTATAACAGAAAATACTGTGCGAACAGAACGAGAGATGCAGCATGCAGTGGCATACTGTGGATATAAATGAATTAGCTTCTTTAATAAAAGAAGTGTTAATTTGTTAAGCCTAAATAGTGATACAGTGACATAAAACTGCAAGTTTTTTATTTTAGTTCAAGGGAATCTGATTTCTGGGAATTCAGAATGGTTCCATCCTTACTCCTGGATTTTTTCCAGACGCAAAAACATTTACATCAACTGCCAATTCAAAACCACTCCACTTACCAAAAATCACACTAAATCTTAAACACGGTTTCTTTGCTGACAAGTGTTTTACTTACACGTGAATAGCTTTGCATATTTCATCTGCCGTCTTTCCAGCTTTTCTTAAAGTAATGGCAAGATTTTTGGCCCTGTTGGCATCCAGTAACGTGACTTTGTTTGACCCTTTCTGAGTTATCTTTTGCTTGCTTGAAGTAAGATCAATGGCTGGACCTTGGGCTTTTGTTTTGAATATTTCTTCAAATTCATCCACATTTAAATCCTGAAAGGGAAAGAAGATTATTTATCCCTCCCGCAGCAAACACTAAAACCCGCGCTGCCTAATATTGTGCCAGAACTGCAGTACAAACCCTGCGACGCTGTGACGACAGCAGAGTACTTCGATCAGGGGCTGTAGGATGTAACGAACATGCGCTCCTGAGTTAGTGATCAGGAAATCTGGCCTCCACCCCCAATAGCCCCATCCATGTCCAAAAGTTCAGGAAAATACTCATATTAGCACTCAGGCTTTATCCAGCCACATGCCTCTTCAGGGCAGAGGGAGCATGCAAGACCTGCGTACTCAGCTCTGCTCTGTGGTGCTTTAAGCTTCGTTCGCTGGCACGCAGCCACCCACCCAAGCCTAACTCCTGCAGACCGGATCAGCAATTTTAGGTTGGGAAAAATGCACCTTTTCATCTTGGTTGATCCGTTTTAAACAAATGCACACAACAGCTACGCACCCTTCATAATCGATACTACCAGCTACCATCCCTAATTCTCAACCAAGGCACTCACGCTGACCTGCTGGGTACCAGGGGCCACTGGATGAGCTGTTTGCCAAAATAATTGCTGCAATCTATCCCTGCAAAGACTTGTGTTATGGACAGAAGTGGAGGCAGAAGGGCAGCAAGCAGCACTCATACCTCCAGGATCCTTTCGTCATCTATTTCGTTGAAGACTGTCCCATTGATCTGGTTGGGTTTGAGGGCGACCCAGTTGAACACCGGCATGCGGAACTTGGTCTTGATCGGCTTCTTGATTTTCACAGCTAAAGACAGCAGAGGAGAAGAAATGACAAATTCCCCAACCGCTGAAAAACACCCCACGTGCCCAGACTGCAGCTTTCGAGTCGGCATTTCAGCACTGGAGGAAGAACCGGCCAGAGCTAAATTATCACACTGGAAAACCTGGAAAGATCTTGCTGCCTGGACAGACAAACAGCGCCGAGAGGCTTTCATCCAGCCCCTCAGCTGTTTCAGGCCCAGCCTCTGCAGAACTGGACTGAACGCCAGAGGCTGTGAAAATTTCACTAAAGGAAATGTGTTATTACTTTATTACCGCATGTTGTCTGGATTGATTTAAAAGCCCAGGCTATTTTTAAACGCTACAGAAAATGGAGAGAGTGGTCGAATTTAACCCTGTCCTCTGTTGCAGAGCCCACCCTGGTGTGAGCTGATGCACAGCCACGCACAGCACAAAACTCAATGCAGAATAGGTGACAAGAAGAAAAAAAGCCCCTTTCCCAAGGTTTTGGTACAGGGAGCGGCCCCTCCCACTGCCTGCTGCAATGGGGCAGTGCTGCTGCTCTCCAGGTTTGTCTTTTAGAGCAAAAGGGGGTGGGGGCTGCAGCGCACGTGAGCTTTAACATGGTTGAAATAACAGGTTTAATCTTCTTGCGCCGTGCAGAACCAGTAAACGATTTAGTGACTTACACAGAGAAGCTATGAAAATGAAGACTGACTACTCTCATTAACCTGTCAACAGAGCACAAAAAAGCAATGTTGGAGCAAGGAAAACAACACTTTTCTCTTCCTATTCCTAACAGGTCTGGAAGGTACATGAATAACTTCTGTAATTCAGTTCTCATTTCTTTGTATCTTGATGTAAACACGAAGCTGTTAGTTGCTACAAAATCAGGATGTTCACTGAAGTGATCAATCAACATTTTGCTCCCGAATTACTTAGAAAATAAACTGTTTTCTTTCCAAGCTGCAAACACAAAACAGAAACCCCGGTCCTTCCTCTCCAGTGCTGAAAAAAAGAGCCATTCAGCCCGCAGCGGCGGTCAGTGGCAGAGGCATGCAGGGGACAGCCCCTGCTCCACCCCGCCGGGGACGCTCAGCCCCGCAGCGCACCCATGCAGAGTCATCGCCCCAGCCGAGGACGGATCACGTGTGGTTCAGTCCAGTCCAGTGTTTGCTCCTGACTCCTGCCTACCCCGCGTTTGCAGCAGGAGCAATCTTGCTAAATATTCGATGCTCTGTAGAGATGCCAGATTTTTTCCCCTCGGTTTCAGAAGACGGCCGGGTTCCCAGGTTGCAAAGCACTTGAGCAAATAATTATTTTACTTTCCCCTAACGACTCTGTATGTATGTTTTTGCCAGGATAGAGACAACGTATTTCAGGGGACAGTCCTGTTGTGCACCGGAGCTGGGTGAATGCTGAAAACATTTCTCGCGCTTTGTCATTCCACTTTTAAGACAAGAGTCGAGTTGTGTGTCCATGTCCCTTTCAAGCTTGTGCTCATTTTGCAGGGACATCACAAAGAATAAATTACTGGCAAGAGCATTTGCTTGAAACAAAGAACCATTAGTGAATAACAGGAAACATATACAATATTCAGCTTGAAAGTCTGTGTATTTTGAGAATTATATTCATCCAACTGGAAGACAGGAACACACGTGATCAACTTCTGCTCATCTAAACTGAGTTTTACTCTTCTCTCGCTTAATTAATGTGGTTACTTCAAAATAATTCCTAAAATTAAAAAAAGAAATAGCTTTTTCCACCTAAAACACCCGTGGCAAGAAACACTTGCACATACATTAGCATAGATTATTAATGGCTCCTGGGTTATTTCAGGACAGGAAAGGAAGCCAACTGCCTCGTGGGCCAGTTCCTGGTGTAGCTAATCCAAATCTCTTAAAATTTCCCTTCCTCCTCCGTTAGAGAGCCCTGGCAAGGTGACGTCCCTGGGAGTCGTGCCGCTGCCGGCAGCCCAGTGGGGACGCGGTCACGGCTGGGGACCAGACCCCGGCAGAGGGTACTCGCAGCCGGCGAAAGCTGCTGCAGCTCAGCACTTGGCCTCGTTGGGAAAAGCCTACCGGCGTGACCGGTGCTGAGAGCGCGGCTCAAGGATGGCTCAAAAGAAACCGCATGTCTTAATTACTTGCTGAAGTGCTTTGCTGAATCAGGGTCTCCTGGGTGCCAAATCCTGATGGTTGGCAGCATCCCCAAAGCTACTGCGTGCTCCGGCTCCGACTCTGGCTCCATCAGGCAAGCCCCTGCACCAGCCTCCCCCCTCCCCATCGCCCACACGAATCCACGGGCACACACATGGGCACAGCACAGAGGGAAACGCGGGGAGGTGGGTAAATACTTAGCAGAAAGCAACCTACAGAAGAGCTTGATTGGCCCGTCTTACCAGAAAGCAGAAAGAACAGAGAAAAAAATGTTAGTAATGGTCAGGAAAGCAAAATTTGTTATTTCACTGACTCCCCTCTGACCCACAAGGTTCCTGCCCTGAGAAACACTCCTTTCTGCGCAGCCATCATATCAAGAAAAGGCGCTTTCACTCTCCTTCCCTCTCCTAACCCACTGAAGAACAAAATATCCATCCCACCTGGCTTTGGGCATCTCACCCAAGCACCTAAGCAAGGAGCTCAGCTGCGGGGGCTCGCCCCTGCCGTCGGTGCAGCTCAGAGGAGCCACGTGCAGAAGCAGGGCTTGCTCCACTGCTCCCATCCCCAGGTAATACCGCAAGGATGTCAGGCTAAGGCACGGTGTCTGGGCACGCGGCGGCACAACCCCTTGCTGCTCGCAGCAGCTCCTGCGCCCCCGGCAGCCCTCCGAGCACCACCACGGCCACATCCAGCACCCCCTGCCACTCTGCACCGCGTGCCACGGGACCACTGCCTGCTCTGCCAAACCCGTCGGGGAGGGACCAGCCCGTAACCTCAGCTGTGTCGTGCCTTTTGTGCTTTTTTTTTTTTTTTTTTTTTTTTTA